CTGGACCTTTCATAAATCACTCGGTTTTAGGCTGTCTCGTATCAATCGGCCGATTTTGATAAAAATCATTAAAAGGCACCGTTTCTTTGGTGTTTCGTTAAATTACCACGGTGTTCGAGCAAACAGGTCGCGGATGTTCGTTCCGTCACGATGGCGGACGAGCAGGCAGATGCAAACCGTACGCTTCTGCAGTTTGTTTGAGCTCTCTGAGACTCGCTGTTCTCAATCCTGGCCTCGATAATTCTTCGTCCCTTGCCGTCCTCCTTCTTCAGCATCTTTCACGGTACAGCTCCTCCTCTATTCCGTACACGACTTCCAAGCGGTGTAACGCGATCGTAGAGAGATGTTTTCGAGGAAGTACGCTGGATTTAAAGCCACCGTACCATTCAAGCTCCAACGGACGGTACAAGCCTCTTCCTGTGCACGCTCTATCATCCGCGCAAAGATGTTGTCGTTCGATGCATTAGCCTCGTTTATATTCATCTTTTCTCCGTTGCACACGTGGTTTCTATCGCGTTAGACCACCCTGTTAAATCGTATTTCAACTCGATCGACGACTGACACTCCTACGGAGAGCTTCTTTCTGCCTGTCCCTCTCGTATTCCCCTTTTTCCAGCTCGATGAATTTGTATTTACGAGCCCCGCTACTCGGTATCGATGTATCTAAAGCTTCCAGCTCATTTTTGTTCAGCTGATGGTAGGATGTTTTTCGCATACGTACAGATTACTTCTGTCTCAGTCCTGTAGGAAAATATCACCACCCTCCTGTGAGGATTATAGAATGTATAGAATCAACTGAATTTTTCTCAGAGTCACAAATAACAAATTGGGCGTTTTTGTATCTCTAATCTGCAATTTTTAAGGATTAAATTTTGTCAGAATTCTATTGGAACGAAACTTCGCTTTTAACGAGAAACTCCATAAAATCAGCATGCAGACGTCATTATCAATACCCGCGCCTAGAGCCCCGACGATAGTCTCGCGTAATCGCGCGTTCCGTGGCACTTAGCGAGGGGATAAAAACGTCTCTTTGAAGGCAGACTGAAAGAATACAGTGAAGAAGAGCAGGGGAGACACGCGAACGGGAGAAGGAGAGAAAGAATATAATATATGTGATCTCTCGGTACGGGTATGTCTTTGTATCTACGCGGTTAATGCGAGCCGAAGTGTTCCGAGTCAAAGCGCAAACACAACCCGACAAAGCGGCCTCTGTTCCAGCTCTCGTCCTGCTCCGAAGCTTCGCCTTCGTTCCTTTCTACTCTTTCGAACGCTTTTGCAGCAATAAACCGTTCGCGAACCGACCAACCGACCGATGTATCGTCCCGAACGGAACGCACTTAATTCCACTCGACTCGGTTGCCAGAACTTTGAACTCGTTCAACTTGATACAGAGTAGTTCGAGTGTCTCTCTGTGTCAGTTCCACGATCGCGAGCACCAGATAGGTAGCATTCCGTTAATTAACAACGATGCTGGAAATTGGGCTGAATTCGCTATTTCTCTCCCTGGAAATACAACAACCCGATCCTCCTTTGCAAGCTCTGATGTTAACTCGATGCTCGTCACGCTTGCTCGCTTCTAACCACGTTCCATCGCGTTTCCAACCTTCTCCATTGTATAGGGTGTCTCAGCCATGGTACAGTACCAAACATGATAGATTTCCCTTGGAAAAATGGCAATCTCCCCATCTACTTAGGCTTCCAAGGGTTCACGCGTTCTCCACTACCCCCATAAGTATTCTTTTCTCCTTCTAACACACTTTTAATATTAGTATCGTGAAAATTAAAATCCTGAAAATTCCTGTGATGCAATTTTTCTCAGGGAAGTTTACTTTGCTCGATACTGTACATTCAAAGATGGGGTGGTTTCTTCTACCACGATCACTGGAGCGCCCTGTACGTTGGGGTAAGTTGATTTTAGACGAATGTATTCGTGACATTTCAAACCAACGAGCCATCCGACGTCCTTTTGCCAGGTTACGTCCGAGGTGTGCAGCTTTGATCTAATCGAGGTCCTCCAAGTTGAAATTGGCTTCCCGCGTGAAGCGCCGATCACAATGGGCGTAAAGGGAAATTGGATTTATGGAGTGAGAGGCGCTCGTCGTTACCACTTCAAAGGATCTATCCGATGATCAGGTCCATTGTAAATATTGTCTATGATAATACTGAATGATTTTATACGAGCACTACGAATATTCAGATCTCGAGAAACAAAATTTCTTGTCTTAAATCGGAATTTTACGATTCGATACGAATTTCCGGTCCACGGAAAAACGCAATCGCGACACTGTCACGGCTATTAAAATTCCAAGTGTCAGTTGATCCGATTACTCTCTTTGAAACTCTTCTTTCCCCCTTGGGATCGAATCAAATGCTGAATTTGTTCTGTCTTGACGCAATTCTCGTTTCGCATGCTCCGTTGCGTTATTGCGTTTCGATGGTACACAAGGGGTTGATGGGGTTGTAAACCTAGGAATGATTTGACTATTCGAATAATTCTCCCAGTCAAAATATTCGAATTTTTATAAGAGTTCTACTTATTGCCGGTAAGAAAAAAGGATTTGCATGGGTCAATGGCGACCTCGACCTCGAGGCAGATCGCGTTCCCGGAGAAAGGTAAAAAGGGGAAAGAAGATAGAGGTGAGAGCGCAGCTGACTGACTGGCACGTAATGAACGATCGCAGGATTTTCAATGGATTCCCTTGAAGATTAAAGATCAATTAATCGTACGTGATCAATGGCGCCGGTTTATTCGTCGGGTATCAAAGGTCACTTGTACTAATGAATCCAGCAATTAGTTATCGAGATACGTACACGTATTTACGATCATCGACCGCAACGAGATGGAATTAAGTTACCGTGAAATCGTAAGACCGCAAGAAACGTCATTGTTTTTCCATTGACGGGGCGAGCGTGATCGATAAATCGTAATCACGAATGGAAAAGATGAAATTAAGTAGCATTGAGATTCCACGGGAAACATCAATTACAGAACGATTGAAGTCTTTTGCGCAACTTTCATCGGAGATCGATTGGCTCGATGCTGGAACGAAATTATTTATTCAATCGTTTGCTTGCCAATTCCCATCGTTATTAATCATTCCACGATGAACGTGGAATTGCCGAGAATTTAAATAGCCCTGTCACTTATCATTTTCCTCCATAATCGAACCGTTTGAACTCTGTTTTCATGCTGCTGCAGTATAATGTATTAATATTGCATTCAGATAGACATGAATTGCAGATATTATCAAGCATTTCTTGAATTCAGAATACTATTTTAACGTATCCGTTATCATATTAGTGTCATCGTTTCATTTCTCAATTTGAACTCTCAATTTCTTACCTAATTGCAATTATAACGTGACATACTAAACAGAGTCCTTTTAAAAGTTAACGAATAGCAGAAATTTATTTAAAAAACCAATGCAACGAGATTCCGAGGTTTTTTTTCTATCGGTCTCCAAGGAACGATAATTGCAGCGAATATTTCTGTGTCATTGGTTTCACGCAGCCTGCAATTAACCCAATAGCAAAGAACACGCAACATTGGTCTAGCATTCCACGCACGTTCCCATACTTTCCTTATCACTACTTCGGCTTCCTCTGTGTTGCCGTTGCTTCCCATTCACCGGTACGATTCGCGCCTCTGGACAGCGAAATTTCTTAAACTTTAACGCGATAACGTTCAATTGATAAGCTTTTCAATGAGAATCCACCGTTTATCGTTTCCCCGTTTCGTTTTATCGAAGTTTCCCATACAGGGGCAACGGCACGTTCGTCCGACGTAGATTGTAAAATAGCGAGCCATTAAGAGAGACCGTAATATTTCGTAATTATCAGTTTTATCGCCTGGCCACGAGTCGCCGGTTAAATTATTGTCACCCGACGTTCGCCAAAGCACGGAGGCGGAAGAACGAGCTTCCTTATTGGTCACTGTATGCAAAAGCTGGCTGCATTCAATGTCATCGTAAACGTGGTCGCATATAGCCTCTGTTCTTCTTTTCTTTTATCGAACAATAAGCCGAGTTTCTGATCGCTCGACCGACGCATACGCTTCTCCATTTCAAATTATTATTCGTTTGAAGGAGAACCGTAATCTTGGCGCGGCTGAATTTCTATCGAATCATATTACAAAATGTTATAAATATCAATGTTCTCAGTGAGCAGACTTCAAAGAAAATACTGAATCTGTCGATGATCCTAATAGTATCTCTTTGCGGGAAAAAGTCGCGGGAAAAAGCCAGTCGAGCACCATAGAGACGAATGGTAAACATTATAGAAATGCATGAGATGCGGAATATCGAAAGGCGCGATCGAATTCCCTGGAATCCGATTGAATAATTTGTCGAGGCTCGTGGAATCGCGGGGCAGCGATGTCGAACGATGTGGTTGGCTAAAATTTTGGCTCGTATCCCACATATTGTTTTCTGGGAATGCCGATCGATCGAACAACCTCGGTGAAAGCCTCTGGTATTCACAGGGAACAGGGAATTGGTTGTTGCGTGTACATAATCGGAACCTGCTCATCGCGCGTTCGTCTTAAGTGCCCGGAGCAATTACTTGTGCATAACTTCGCGAAGAATCTCTCTAAATAACGTGCGTATTCGTTTATGGGTCATAAACGAATTCAGCATTGATTCGAAATGAAAAAGAGCTAAGAAATATCGGTAGTTTCGTCTCCTTTAGATCTTCTAACGAATTTGGAGGTTTTTTCAAGAGAGACCCTCATCATGTTCGGTGTAATTTATTACGAGATTATGAATAGTAATTTCAAGTGGAAAAATGAATTTTTTCGGGACCAAAAACCTTGTTGAACAGAGCAGTTTCATTTAGGACCGTCTAGACCTCGTTGAAGAGGTACTTGTGCGCTAATTAATCGTACCCATTAAAAAAATTCATGGAAAAAAGGACTGGACCATCGTGTATCAGAGGTTTGATAAATTTAATGCTACTTTTTTTATAGATTTTTAACACTAATCCAGTGTTTGTTTTGATTTCAGAGCGATTTTGAACCGCAATGTCACGTGTTCCGAACGAAGCAGCTGCGCAAGCCGCGTCCGTGCCATTTGTGCCATCAGGCGGTGATCAAACAGGCATCGTGCTGCAGAGGTGAGTCGATAAGTTCACTTCCTGTATCTTACATGCGGTCAGAAAGGGTTATGTCGGTAGGTCTGTTGAAACGGTGGATGGTAAGAAAGTTTGGGAAGAACCGAACGCAAAAAAGTGGAGGGTAATTCAAATACTTATTGATCGAGAACTTGTAAGGGCAACGAGAAATGAAAGAAGAGTTGTTTCTTTAAAAATTTTATTTTTAAAGTATAATACAAAAATATCTTAGCCTACATACAATTATGAATTACATATTTCTATTATTCATTTTAATCTACTTTATCAGATACAAATTAATTTTTTAATTAATAATTATCAAAACCCGAAGATTCTTAAAACCTACTTTGTTTAAATCGAAAGAAAGTCCTATTAAAATTCTTTTATCGTTTCAGTCTGCAAGTACATCTGCCACAAGAGCTGCGAGGACAAGGTGAGTGACCATTACCAACCCTTCATCTTCGTTTTTTCGAACGAACAGCAATTAGATCGGTTGGACGACGCGTCATTTCGCGCGAATTAGCGTCCGCAATCAAGCCGGTGTCTTCTCGGAAACTTTGCGACAGAGGGAAACGTGGAGGGCACTTCCTCGTACACGGAGAGGCTCTCCCGAGCGAGCACGTTGTCGTTCGTACTTCCTGGTACTCAAACAAATCTCTCGTGCCTCGAACACGCGAAACAAAACGTTTCGAACAGACTCGACATCTCCGCTTTGCGTAGATCCATCGATGATTTTTCACGATTCCACGGTGATACGCGTCTGGTTCGCGGAATGGTACCGGAAGTAATCAAGGACCACGCTGAAGATCCCAGTTAGTAGATGCATCTTAATTCGAGCACGCCAGCAAATGGCGTGGTCGATGAGATTCTCGGTTCTTCGAAGTCTTTGTCGATACGATGACCACACGAGCGTGTGCGCGAGAGCGAACAAGCGTTCCAGTGGGAATAGACCCAGTCGTCTCGGTTTCAGTGTGTGAAACACGGTGTGGGTTCAGTCACCGGGCAGGGCACGAGCCTTACTTACCTTACCTTCTTCGTATCTTGAAGTACTCCTGTGTCACACTCGCGGTCATACACACACACACATACACGAGTGTGCGCGCACACGTGTCGGACACAGAAAGTAGCGGAAGGATGAACAGTAGACATGGAGGAGAGAACGTGCCACGGACAGTAGGAGAGCACGACTTCCTTCTGTAAGTGGCGATACGTCGTTTGTTGCGAAGGTTTTGTGGCCACACCGCGAACAAAACGGTCGGCTACGATCCCTTTGATACGTCTATTTCGACGCCGGAGAGCTTCCATTACCGGCGGCAAGAATTCGCTCCGCTGGATCTCCTCTCAGGGCCGTCATGGTGAAAGTCGAGGAATCTCGTACAGCCTGTCTTCTGGCGATTAATGCTCGAACTGGTCCGAACATATTGGCTTTTTAACGCGTTAACGCATTAATTATCGCAAGGATTATCAGTAATTGGCGATTGGTAAATTTTCGATGAAATTACTGAAACTCGAGTAGCCGAATATCGATGCAGCTTGATTAGAAAAAGAAAGATAACGATCCTCGTGTAATTGGCGACCCGAGAGGCATTTCCCGATATTAATGAGTAGAGAAACATGGAACTAATGGGAGATCCGCGATCAGATACACCGCCCTTGCGAGTTATCGAATCATCGATCTTCTTCCTGTTCGGTATGATAGCGAGGCGAGCTGGCGATTCGGGCTTGTTAGGTTTACAGGCCTGTACACGAACGTTATTGCCCTTTCGTGGAGGCACAAAAGCAGCCGGTCCGTTCCGTTTCTTCCGTAGAAGAATTACGTGTAGGTCACGTTCGTTCTGGACGTTTTGAAATTCGAGGCAGCTCGAAGGTTTCTTCCAGGACTCGTCGCGTCATCTCTTCGCTCCGTCGCTCTGGTATTGTGTACGAATGTCGGACTTATAACAGTCTGTGATGTAATTCGTTACAGACACGGTAGCCACAGGAAATATTCGTTTCGTCGCCTTGAACTCGTGCCATCTCTCTTTGCTGGACCACCACGTGTGTGTTTGAAAATGAAAAAATTTCGCCAATTTCGAATGAATAATCGAGCAGAAATCAAGCACGAAAGCGTGACGATATTACAACGAATGCTTGATCATTTTCAAGCACTTCTGTTACGTTAGATCATCCAGATTTCTAAATTTCCGTTTAATGGCAAAATTGTCTTGGATAACTGATTCTACCAGCGGTACGCCAACAATTTCTCTATGCAATTTTTCTTCGACGTACTACTTAGGAAAAATGATGATATATCGTGTTCATCATGCTTGCTTTCGCCCGTTTACACAAACACGCGCGGCATTAAGCTGGAAATTGGCTAGAAAGTACAGCTATCTAGAGTCCCGTGTAACATTATAACGCTACCGTGTACACGAGCCAGCTATATGCATCGTGTCTCCTATCTCCACCAGATACCTCCTCGTCTGTGTAACGTATGTTGCGAGAAGGTATTGATATCATCGTTTCAGCCCTAACGCCTTTTCTCCTGGAACTGGAGCGAATACCAGCTGAGAACCGCTGGGACCAGTTAAACCGACGATATCATTCATCGAATATGGAGAATCAGACGTTTCTTTGAGATCGAAGCTCGTTGAAGTCTGATCAACTCGCTTCTATTCTCCTCCTAACTCCAGAGGAGTTGAGCCTTTGATGGACACTTTCGAAATTCGACCTAACACCATTAATTTCCCAAACGCCAAAAGCTTTGTGATCTAACAAGCCAAACTTCTCTTAACTTCCTGATCAATGCCCTCCTCTGTATCAGTTCCAATTCAATTGAACAGTTTCGAATATTTGATGGGATCGAACCCTTTTCGACTTGGATTCTTGAGTTCGTATTAAAATCGATACCACCGTTATAGGTCTCTCTCCCTGGTCCGCGCTCAATGTTCTTTCGCGCTAGATTCGTGTCACGTCGTTCGCTGATTCGCCAACTTCTGAACGCGTCCTTGTTCCCCGGTGCACGGTCACCTTTGCGGTTAAACTGGCTCGTGTAACAGGGAGGAGCAGTGAGCAGGAGCGACCAAGCCCTTTTAGCGGGCTCCAGGAGGCTGTTTAAACAGACGGGATACACGGCAAGAGGCTTACCAGCCCGGTCGCGAGAGGTGCATCGACCGTCCTGCCGTTGTAAACCGTGCTCGCATCTCGTCCTCGCCAAGTACGAAAGCCGTGGCTACCATACCTGGTGCTAGCACACCGTCCGTACCACCACTTCGACCTTCCAAGATTGTAAACAGCCGGCAAGAACCGGGGAAACCAGACGATGGGTAACGTTGCTCCCGGTTCTTCGTCCTTCTTCCTGCCTCTTCTTCTTCCATCTTCTTGCCTCCTCGCCGAGATGCGCCCAGCTGCAACGGCTCGATATATTAACCCTCTCGCTGCGACGCGCCTTTGACAAAATGCGCTCGATGACGACTCGAAATCACCTTCATTACAGCAATTAAAGAATTCTTCTTCCTGGAGCGTTCACTTTAATAGGGCACTTGTACACGCTCTCTCGCAGTGTCCAAATGAAAAAATGACTAGAAAGTATGAAAATGAAGAAATACAGAGAAGGATGGTTTTCGTGGTAACGATGACGAAGAATGGGCCCGGAAAGATGGAGGATCGTTGATGCATTGTTTCCACTGGGAGGACACTGGAACCGTGTTGCCTCTGTGATGATACGTCATCTTTATCTCCTTTCTCTTTATTTTCAGTCGCGACTTTGCACCAAGAGATGATGCACCATCAGCAGCTCGGATGCGAGCTACCTTGATATCCTTGTTCGCGATGAATGCCAGATTGTTGGCGGTGTTGATTTAAGAAACGGAGATGAATAGGCGACACTTGGACGCTTGATGAAGGGAAACGCGACGAGAGGCGGGAACCGAAGGGAAATTTGAATTTCTTTTTTTCCTCTCTTCGCATTCGCGCGAGTTGGAACGCGTTTTCGAATCGCGGAAGGAAAATCGATGGGATCGCGTGCGAGGGATGTAACGGGATTCGGAGCGCGGGGTCGGGGCTGTCGATCGTACGAGGTAAGACGAGATGGTGAAGATAAAACGTGACGAGGAACGTTTCGAAAAAGAAGATTCGCGGTATCGTGACACTGACTCCGCGGCCGGTAACACAGGCCTAATGACTAATAACATCCGTGATTGAACGCGCCGCGAATCCGCGACACCGTGTCGCGAAAGTAGGCACAATTTACGGGGACACGCTGTATCCTCTGTACCCTTCTCCCGTCGATTTATTGCCATTATGGAAGGATCTATTATATCCTACCATCGGATAGATCTTCCTTAGCTACGGTGCACGTGCACGCGTCAGAGATGAACCTTGAACTTGCTTTATTGAGGCTTCGACGTTTGAGTGACATGTATATGTACTGTCATTCGGTGAGATTGAGTCGTCGTGAGATCTGATTCGAATGCTGAAGAGACCAAGTTCTTCGTGGACTGTAGGTGGTACGTATCAGGTCATTTGTTACAGCTGATCAGAGTAATAATTAGGAATTTTGAATTACGACCAGGGTAAATTTTAAAGCCGGTCGTTATTTGACGCTTCTATGCATGAATTATGAATCCACTATCATCCGGGGGAGATTGAAAGTGTGAATTATTTCGCGGCGCGATAACGAACTCACGATAAACAACGCCCCGTTGTCTATACATTACGAAATAAATGTATTCCGCGACAGGCGGTTGTGAGGATAAATCAGAAAGCGGTCGTGTATAATTCTTAGTGTCGTCGGTGTAACAGCGGGTTGTTAAAGATTCGACCACAAATTTTCTACCGGTCTGTCCGCGTATTTGGTGGGGTGTCTACCTGCGGCGATAGCGGATGGGCTCCGTGCACGCGCGATGCGGACCTCTCCAGTCCGCGAACAGCGCTCCAACGCGAAGGACGTGGGAAAGATCGATTCGTCGTTGCGTCTCGATCGAACAAACTCTTGTTATTCCTTCCTTCGATCTATCGCAATTAACGCAATCACGAATTAGCCCAGTGATCCAGTGCTCTCTATACGCTACTCACGAAACACTTGTCCGAAACTGGCGCGAAATTTCAATTCCTTCAACTCGAATCGCGTTCTTCCGTCGAAACATCGTGACGGGGATGAGGCGAGTGAAAACTCGTCACGGTTTGTGAAGTGAAGAAGTGTCGGACCTGTGTTTCGAACCTGTTCATCCTGTACGAGGTGTCGGTCGACAGATATTTCGTTGTCCAAAGCCTCGGATACGTTCGATCGATGCGACGATAAAATTCTCGGGCAGCGTGGCGCGCGAACAAGGAATAAGCATGGCCAAGGCGGCATGGTCGTCGAACCCGAAGAGACACGGACGAAATTAGCCACGGCGTTGATCGTGCCGTGACCTTGACCGGTGTTGACCAACCTGACGAAAATCGAGAGTG